GTGGCATAGTTGACCCTGGTAACAATCAAGAATGCAGAGTTAAAAATGTCTCTGTGCTGAGCTGATAGAAAGATATAGTGTTGAGTCTTCTGTCCCATGAATTGATTGACCTTTGTACAAGGGCAGATTGCTTGTCTGGAATATAATTAATATAGTAACTTTCTCTATACAACCTACTTAAATATATCATTTGACTGTTTTATTTTTGCAGTCTGTTAAAAAAAAATCATTCACAGGACCAGGGATTTATCTCAGTGGCACTGTGTCTGCCTGGCAAGCACAAGGTCCTGAGTTTGATCCTCAATACAAAAAAAAAAAAAAAAAATCATTCACCTATGCTCTACACTGTAGGGTCAGTTCACAGTATAGTGTTTACACTGCCAAAAGTACTACATAAACCTAGCAATTACTGTATAGATAAATTTTTATTCTATTAAAATAGTTGTATCTTCTGTTGTGTAAAATAAGTCTTGGCTATCAAGAGTCTTACAAAGTTGTAACCCTGAAATACGACTGCCAAATTCCAAAACACAATTGGAGAAAACAAGCTGCAGCTTGTCACGGATTTTTAAGAGAGCTCAGATCTTGAAAGGCCCAGGGACAACTGAAGAGATGGTAGAACTTTATATAATGTGGGATATGTAAGAAGTTTCAAGGTGGAGGACAGGGAAGAGTGGAATCTGGTAGGAGGAACCACACCTTGCAGAATGGATGCTGAAAGCAGGATGCTTGGCTGGGGCACAACAGCAAGAAGTTAAGGATGAGTGGAATAAAACTTATGCGTTTGACATAGTGAAAAATGAGGCAGCAAACATGCGTTTGACTCTAGAATCTAATGCCCAAATTGTGGTAATATCAAGTATTTTTGAGAATAATGTGGCCATACAATGTAGGATGCACTGTCACATTCTCCGTAGAAAAGGCATGGGCAGCACCTACTGCCTGTGTAACAGCTGCCAGGCAGGGGAGTTGTTTGAGGGGATAGTGCAGCATATCAGTGTAGAAATGGGAAAGTAATGGGATAATGGAGTGGACAGGGGGTGAAAGAGAGGTATAAGAAAATGTTCTGGTGAGTAGTGGGTGACGACAAACCAGTTTCAAAATCCAGATATTATCGTACAGGTTTAAGCAAAAATCATTATTTTAATAGCATAATTCCGCTCCTGTTTTCAAACTGCCATAAAGTTAATTCCTAGTAGAAATCAAGGTCTCCTGAGGTCACATAATTAGTCTGCTGCAGGTCTTGAATCAATACTACAAGTTCTCCTATCCATTCTTTGAATTTTGTAATCCTTCATTTTATCATGCTCATTTTTCCAGGGAACTTTAAGATTAAACTAATGTTTTTATGTTTCCCAGCATATTTACCTTTAGGAAACTGGATTAATACAGTATTTTACATTTGGTTTCCAAATTTATGCTGTGACAGATGCTTAAATATATATCATGAAAATAATAATACAAAGGAAACTAAGGTTTTAAGATTACCTAAGTAGTTTTCTATGCATTATCCAACTAATTCTTTGTGGCTTACTTTTAATGAGATAAACATGACATGATTACTTTCACTTTACAGTCAGAAAATTCACTCAGCTTCAGAAAGTTGAAGTAAACTCGCTCTTGAAACTAGAACATGAACTCGGGTCTTCTGACTCCCAATCAAGAGCAGCTTCCAGTTGTAGGAAAAGATATATCAATTTTCCCTTTGTCTAATACAATTTTAGAGATGAACAAAACCTTAAAGATCAATTATTACAGTGATTTACAAACTTTTCTGGAAATGACATAAAGATTTTGTTTTTATAGGCTCCACAATCTTTCTTGCAATAATTATTTCTAACATTGTAGTGCAAAAGCAGATATAGGCAATATAGACAGGAATGGTTGCTATAAATTTGCAATAAAACTTTATTTACAACAACAGGCTGCAGACAGAATTTGCCTATGGGCTATAGTTTACTGATCTCCCATATACTCTCTTTGAGCCTTATTTCTGAGAAAAACTGCTTTCTATCTAGAGAGCTTATTAGATTTATGGAGGCTTCTCTGCCTGGAGCCCAACAATCAATTTTATCTTGCTTCTTTTGATTCTAATGTCTCTCTCTAAAGAGGCATTTAATAACATCAGTCTAATTGGCAAGGTTCGTATCTTTCCTATCCTCACCTCTCCAAGGTGTAAATGTTATTCCATTTGGCCTTTTTTATGATGTCTATGAAATTTGTTTAGGTAGTCAATGATGTCTTAATTGTGCTGACAGAAGTTCATTGATTATGTCTTTCTCTGGAGATCTGGTGACCTCTAGTCCCTTGAACTGTTGATCTGCCTTTCTTCAAGACTGTGCACTGTGCAGCACTGTCAAACAAAATCTTTAAGAAGCAAACTCGACAGCAATAGCTATCACTCCAGGTTTGCAACTAACACTCCTAACAGATCACAGGAAACCTGAGAATTGGTGCTTGCACCTCCCTCCACTTCGTGTTCCAAGAGAAATACGATTCATTTAAACTTGATATCATATACACTATCAGAAATAAAACATTCATGTAATTGTATTATGTAGAATTCATTTTATCATTCCTCACAAAATGCAATATGGTTACATAAAATTGCCTAATTTGAAATGACTAAATATTTTCCAAGTGCTTTTGATTTGTAATTCAAGAAAGGATTCTGCTAACAGCCTTAGTCAAAGACCAGAAATGTACTTCTATAGTCAGAGCCCTAAGATTTGATTTTAGAAAACCTATCTTTATTACATTTTCTACTTCTAAAGAATTCTGTGTTTTATATTAGTGTCGGGCCGGTTTTGTTCTTCCACGGTGCTTGGAGTTTAAACTAGAAGATTAAAAACAAGATAGCAAACTTTTCTGCTCAGCATTATCCCCTTTCCAACTCTGTGTGTGTGGTGTGTGTGTGCGCGTGTGTGTGTGTGTGCATATGTGTCTGTGTGTGCAATTTTTAAAAGACTTCCCATGATAACTGTTAGCAAGCCAACCACATTGTTTCCAGTTTTGGGTAAAATTTGATGGTATACATATATCCAATGTGATGATTTGTTTTCTCATCCAGGAAGAAATTGAAACTATTTGCACCCCATTAAAAAACTCCCCTGTAAGTCCAGAGAGAAGCCACAGAATGAGTCCACAGAATGAATCCACAGAATGTCTTTTGTGTCTGTGTACTAGTTTTGCTGTCTCTCTCATAATACATGAGTTCATATACGATCTGAGGAAGTTGAGCCCATGGTGGTTGCTATAAGGAGAATATAAATGCAGAATAAATTCTCTATCATGTCATGATGGTGTTTCCCATTTGTAGTAAACATAAACACCAAGTTAAGTGAAAAAGCCAGAAACTATAATCTAAGAGTAAACCTACATTATACTGGAGGAAAAAATCATTTGAAAGCTTTGTAAATATAACATATAATTGAAAACATTTTGATAATCAAATGTTGAAGATTACTAGATGAGAAAGAAAAGAATAATCGGTAGTGTGTCCTTTGACATTTGGGAAAAATTTGTACATATTTAAAAAAAATATTTGGAATGATGAAGTTGAGTGAAGGGAAGGAAACGCAAGGAAAAGAGAGAAACTACAAATAAGATCGAAAATAAGTGAACGAGTCTATTAAAATCAAAATCTGCTACAACATGCTATATTACATTTAAAAACTTAACCCTCTGATTTCTTATTCTTAGTATTCATTTCTTAGTAAACAAAAAATTACATGTTAATACATCTGGCCAATTGAAACTAACTTTAGGGTACAATATTATCAATGATCATTGTTGTATCTAGATGTATGATGGCATTAGAAATATTTATACTGCTATTTGCTTGGATATAAGGAAGCACTAAGCCAGTTCAGGATTAGCTTATAATAACTAGTGTTTACTTTTATGGTAAATGTCACATGCAAGAAAGGCAGAAGCATAAATTTTCAGTACCGAATTGGCAATACTGTTTTGGAATATGCATTCAGAATTATTGTCTATATATTTTCTCTCTTTAATTTCTTCCTTTAGAGTTCTCTTTTATTCAGATTTTCTGTTGCTACAAAAGGCTCCAAGAAAGCTGTTGCAAATTATAACTTTATAGCAGAAGTATTTCAAAAATTGCTATTTTATTACTGTGGCCCAAATCCCTTTGGGTTTCTAGAGTAAAAACCAGGTTCACTCTGAGCCTTAAGCATCTTAGATACTTTAAGTGAAACAGAATGAGTTTTTGAATATACAAAATGATTTATAAATGAATTTTACATAATAAAAGTACATTTCTCATGCTACTTTGGTTTTACTTTTGTTGTAATCAAGTAAGAATAGAGTTAATTATTAGAAAAGTAGAGTCCTGTTTATAAAATGATGAGAAAAATTATCTTTCCTAGACTTGTTCTTGAATTATCTCTACAAAAGAGCAGCATGATTCCAAAAACAAAGCACCAGAATAAAAGGTTACGTATAAGATCTTCTACCTTGAAAGGTCTTTGAATATATATTCTTGGATCTAGAGAAGAATAGTGGCATCTGCCTTTGATTATAGTCAGAAGGATAAATACGAATGCCGGGACCGTATTTAAATATTTCAACATACACAATGAAATTATGCTCTGGGAATATGGCACATGGCGGTTATTTTAACATAATTATAGGTGTCTGACTGGTTGTTTTTGAAATAAATTATTAAAAAGAATATGTTCTTGGAAATATTGAAATTCTTCATGGTTCAGTCATGTTCATCTCAGGAAAATTATAAAAAACTTAAATGAACATTTCTGTTTGTTTTACGATTGCTCAAATTAACTTTATTGAGGAATTATGAGGAAATGTGACTGTGAGTTGTTTAAGAATAATATTAAGGTCATCCAAATATTTAGAAAAGAAAGAATTAGCTGTGAATCCATTTTCATTGTAGTCTTGAGTTCCTCACTCCCAAGAATCAGATGACTATGTGTGCTTACAGTGATTTTCAAGTGTGTGTTGTTTTCTCCACATTGCAGATTGTCTTCAATTTCACCACGCTGGATCTGTACAAGAGTAGCTTGTGCTGGTATGACTACATCGAAGTGAGGGACGGACACTGGAGGAAGTCGCCTCTCCTTGGTGAGAAATGACTCCCCTCCTATGTGTTGTGCAGATTTTGTGTCCTGTGTAATCGCTGACTCTTTCAAGAGTCATCTTAGGGTTCCAATGTGTGTGACCGCATGATCTTTGTTTTTATTATATCTGTTAAGCTATACCTAAAGAAATACAAGACAAATAAATAGACGAAAGTGACTTACCTATGAGGCAAGATAGTGAGATCTGAACATAATAGTTCAGAAGAGCATTCTCATGAATTATGGTTATCATGACAACTCAAAATGTTTCTCTATATTCAATTTAATAATTATAATTTCAATTAAAATGGATAAATTATGTATGTATGTGAGTCTGTGTTGTGCATGTATGTTTGTTTTGTTTTGTCTTTGCTAAGGCAACACAGAATTAGCTGTCAGGGGCAAGTTTGGTAGCTGGTTTCCTAGGCCAAGCATATTTACTCTTACTGTAGATGTCACTGTAGATGGCACGGATTTGTTTCTTGGAGTTTTTATTTTATTTTATTCTTTGTGGCTGAGAAGAGGCATTTATAGTCTGTGTCATTAACTGTAGGTCAGACTTGGCGCTCATGAAAGTCTGCTGGCAATATTTAGTCACAGACCATGGTTTGCTATTGCCCTCTGTTTTGCTGTCACCCTGTTTTACTTCGAGGTGAGAGCTCTTGTGAGTGTGTGAGCCTCTACTCTATATTGATATTCTTTCCTTTGAGATTGTGACTTTCCCTTTATTTTTAGAAGTAGTTTTGCTCAGTCATATTGATGTGCTAGGCAGATCTTTTTTCTTAACATCTAAAACCTGCTGATTGGATAATATTGTATTAAAAGTGTCAGTGGCCTTAGGAAGTCCAAGAGATCTGCAGAAATGTTTAAAAATAAGAAAAACTAATGAGTTGAACTAATGTGATAAGTCAGGATAGGAAGACATTATTTTCTACATTTAATATTTTAAGGAAAAAGTTCTCTTGTACATTTAGTTTCCAAACCCAGATAAGCAATTTGTTGTATCCATTCATGCATTCCAAAGAAAATATTTCACTGAACTGCTTTTGTAGAATCAAAGCTGAAATTAAAAGTGGGAGACACTGCCTTTTCGAACTCTATTTGCCTTACATGTTCGGTAAACTTGTATCATGCCCTACCTGACCGATTCAGTGTTGTTCAGTTTTCGTTTGAAAAGCTTGCTGCACTATTTCTTGTATGACTGCTCTGACTGACATATGTAGCCCTCAAATTGCTGGCATCAGACTCTCCCAGAAAATGTTAGAATTATAGACACTCTGGGCCCACTTCTTGGAATTTGAATTGAATGGCAACAGATTTCCTGGCAGTGCACGTCCACTGCTCTGCTATCTGCCTCTGATTTACTTTGCTTATTCAGGGAGTTACTTCTTCATCTATTAGCTGTCAGTTTATATTCACTTTATTTAAGTTGGAGACCATTTCTCATATATTTAAACTATGTTTGATATCATTTTCATCAGCACACAAAAACGGGTAACAATATAATAAGTTTATAGAACTATTTCATGTGCTTTGTCATATTTAACCATTTTTCATTGTACAAAAGTTTACAAGCCTGAGAAAGATATACAATAAGCAAAAACATCTTTGGGGAAGAATGGGGAAGGAAAAAAAGATAGATATTATTGTACTCATTTTCTATAATACTTACCTACAGATATGCACTTAGAAAAGACTCAAAACTTAGACTCAAGTCTTCTGGCACTGTTTGTTACTATGCCTGTAACCCTATGAGAAGGTGGAGTGTGCAGTGATATAAGACCCTGCAATTTTTTCTGAGGAGTTACAACTGAGCCTGGCTAGAGAAAGAATTCCTCCTTGAGCTGGGAATACAATTTTTTTTCAGTACTTGGATGAAACGCAGGGCCTTCACACTGAGCTACATTCCCAGCCCTTTTTTATTTTGAGACAGGGTCTTGCTAATCACTAAATTGCCCAGACAGGGTTCAAACTTGCAAACTTCCTGCCTCAGCCTTGGCATGGGCCAGCATGCCTAGCTGAGGAAGAAAATCTTAACAAAGTTACTCATCTACTAAAGACTAGATGGACAATTTGACTCAGCTACCAGGATGACTGACACCTATTTGTGACATCTATTTCTGTGTACCACAGAGTGATACTTCCCTCCTGGATGAATCGTGTGATGTTTTATAAAGATCTTTTTTGAGTTTACTGTTAATCCTAATAATACTTGATCCTTTGTACACAGATATAAAGAAATCATTTTATGTATTTACCTTTAGTAGGTCAACATTAAAGTAGAGTTATTCCTCTAATTACCAGTCATAGAAATATGAGCCAGACCTGGTTTTATATATTTGTAATTTGTAGCTGGCATGGAAAACAAGTACAGCCTAGAGTCACATTTAGGGATCTCTCTTATTTCTTTTAGGCAGATTCTGTGGGGACAAAGTACCCGAAGTTCTGACCTCTACAGACAGCAGGATGTGGATTGAGTTTCGTAGCAGCAGTAACTGGGTAGGAAAAGGGTTTGCTGCTGTATATGAAGGCAAGTTTGCATTACATTTAAGAGATTGGTTCATCTTAGATCTCTTAGCAGAGATGTCCTTTCCCTGTTTTATTCGAATGATATTTAACCATGTTTTTAAATTACAAAAGTGCATTTTAATATTCATAGGATGATATTAATGGAAATTTAAATTGCAAGGTCAGCCTGTTTTCTGATACCAGTAACAACTACACGTGCTTGGGTGTGAGGGGCTAAATGGAAAGAGTCTAAACTTTGTTTCATAGTACCATTCAAATATTCTGAAAAAATTATCCTCTTCTTTTGTACTGATTTTATATTTATTTGGTCCCTGCACTGCTAAAATACTCTATTATAAGAATCTGCACAGAAAGTAATTGTGCACATTTCTGAAGCATGCTTTGTCTAAATAAGAGAGTCAGCATTCGAGGAAGAATTTATTATGTGCTTTGTCCTATATTGGTCTAGAACAATAAACTGGCATTGTGCTTCCTGGCTTTAAAAGCAGCCCTTTTCTTGCCAGGTTGTGGGCAGAGGAGACCCTTCCTAGTACAGGAGTTTAGGTAATTTCCAAGACCAAAGATTTCTGCTTCCCTTAAACTTTTAAGTAAATGGAAGCATTTCATTTTAAAGAATAACTGCACAGCCATGTAGATTAAGTGAACAGAGCCCCGGAAGTTGAATGCACAGCACAACCCGTGGCCACAGGCCTGGGGATAGTTCTGTTCAGGGCGAGGTTTCAGTGCTTATGAACTATTGTACTTGTTTCTTCAGTAGGAAGAAACTCAGGCCATCACAGAAGTCACATAGAATAAATTAATAAAATCTCTAAAAGCTTTTAAGTGTTTGTTAAGATGTGACATAAGAGTGATTAGAATTTACAGTCCTTGGCTGACCACTCTGTAATGCTTATAGTTTAGTGACTGTTTTTTACCTTCTAAAATCTTTACAACAGTGCATGCAGCCAACTGTGATGTTTTATAACCTTATCCTCATGTTCATAGTTACAGAAACTGAACTTAAATACTACCTTAGAAGAAAATAGAAAAGAAATGGCATATCTAGACTTATTTTATTTATTTTTGATTTGTCAGCAATCTGTGGAGGTGAGATACGTAAAAACGAAGGGCAGATTCAGTCTCCTAATTATCCTGATGACTATCGACCGATGAAAGAATGCGTGTGGAAAATAACAGTGTCTGAGGACTACCATGTCGGACTGACCTTTCAGGCCTTTGAGGTAAAGTCTTTTAGACAACCTTCATGGAGCATATTCTCATAAATGACAATGGCATTTAAGGGAATCCTCATTAAATCAGCAAAGAAACAGAGAATCAGCCTTTTCATCAGCAAAGAATTGCCTATAAAATGTAACATCAAGAGTGGAAAGGCTTTTTTCCTTACTTTCTTCTTGTTGCCTACATTTCAAGAAGATTAAAGTGAGTTTACATTAACCGTGCTATTTGAATTAGGATGTTTGAAGTCTTGACAATAGTTTTTTTTTTAATTTTTATTTTTTTGACAAATGCTTCAGTATTTTTCACAAGACTACTTGAGGGTCCATTAAGCAATAGAAATCTTATTTCTCTTCTAAGAGGCTAAAAAGTAGAGTTTTTGTTGTTTTTTGCAGAAAAATCCATTTTTTTTTGCTGTTATACAGATAACATATAAAACCAGAAATTCAAATGTCCTCAGAAGCTTTCAACTTCATCAAAAATATTTGTTTAGGAAACTGACATTATTACTGCGTTATTAGATGAAGGGTTGGAATAGACCAAAGACCAATCAGAATGCCAGATCAAAGTCTGAGTCCAGAGCTACTAAGCCCACGCTGGTTTAGGCATCACTTTTGTGGGATAAGAGGAAGAAGGATAAGGATTGGAGGCCAAGCAATTGGGATTTTTTCAGGAGCTCTAGAATGTGTTTAATTCAGACTTGGTCTAAAAATTGAGACCCCCCCAAAGTGGAGTGGACAGGAACAGTGAGATAAGGGTAGTTGGTCCAGATGAAGGTTAGAAATCCAGACATCTCCACTGATTGGAAAGAAGCTTGATTTCCTGTCCAAGCCCCACAAAGGCAGAAAAAGGCCAGATCCATCTGCAGGCAAGGTGTGTACTTGAGACAGAGCACAGTGACAGGGATCTGTCTCTGGCCGGGCAGGCGGAAGCTAGGGGAGTCCAGGCACTTCCGGTAACCCCAGTGAAGCTTGCAGTCTCACTGACAAGCCTGCACCCTTTATTTCTTTAATATTTGTCTCTACCCCCTTGTATGCTCCATGTAATTTCCCAGATACCTCTTTTTATTATGAAAGAATATATTTTCTGCTCTTATCATGACATTTTGTTTTTAGAAGTTTTGGTTTGTGATTATTTGATTGGAATTTGAATTTTGTTATTTGAATGAAAAATTAGGACTGCATACATTGCTCTGACAATATGAATTAGATTGTGACATTACTTGCAATCACCCAATGGGTTTCCATCAAACCTAGAATAAAATCCAGACTCAATGATCACAAACAAAGGCATTCTGCACTTTCCTCCTAGATTCCTTCTTACTCCTATGTCAGTTCCATTTCTTTCTTCTTTCTGTTCCCAAAACACCAGTTCTCTCCCACATGTGTTTGGCATGGAAATTCTTATACCTTCTTGTCTTTGCTTTTACTCCTCTCTCATTTAATCAAATATCTGCTTATCTCCTCATTTAAAAATAACTTGCTTGACAACTCTATTGAAAATATTTTCTCAACTATGATTATTTATAAACCATCATTCTGTTTTATTTATTGGACATATGACTATTGCTTGCTTTGCTAAAATACAGTAACTAAAGGGTAGGGATAATCCTTATACTGCTGATCCCTATATCTCCTGGTCCCAATGGTTCTATGAATAATATTGGGTAATAGAAATGATGGTAAACGGATGTGAGTGTGAATAAATGAAGTTTGGTGGATGTAAATTAATATATCCTTTCCTTATGAAGGATATGTAAGTTTCTAAGCTGAGGGAAACACACCTAGATACATAAATTAGATTTAGACTATGGAGTAGCTGGTATGTTATCTGGCTAAATTTATATTAGAGTTACTAGATTCCAAGAAATTCAGAAGTGACAAAGACTCTGTTTCCCCTAAAATAATACCTGTCTGGAAAATAATCAGCCTGGAAAACTAGAGATCAAAAGTGCCAGTCCCAATCAGCCTATCCTTGCCTTACCTCTGCCATTATTTTTTTCCTCAGTGGCTGCTCTATGGAACAGAAGGCTTTATTTTATGGGAAAGAGGGGATCAGCAGCATTCCCAAACATCAACTAAATCTTCTAGATAAGGAAGCTGAGCTTATCCCATTAACTTCATATGTTAAAGTGGTAACCTAGCTTTAAAATCGAGGTACAAATGATTCTGATTTTATTTGCAAATTTACCTACTCAATAAAAATTCATTTAAGCCCCAAATCAATAGTCATCTTGTGTTTTGGGTTATTTGCAGACATGTACAGACTTGCACATTACTGGCTATGATGTACTGACTGGAAAAATGTACATTAGATAAGCTTCAGTCACGAATGAGTCAGACTGTTGTTGACCGAATTCAGTGCTAATGAATTGAAAACGAATATTAAGATGTCTTCAGATAGAATCACACACAAAGCAAAGTTTTGCATTGATGAGTTGATTTAAAAAATTTGTGACTAGAATGTCAGAGGAACCTAACACTGTGTTTGCTTAGGAGCAGTGAAGTAGTTTTTGAAAATTCAGTGTTCTCTGCGACTTTGTGGAATGTAAGCAATTGCAGTACTGCAAATATCAAGAAGCCCTATGTACTTTCTTAATTGTCCCAGTAGTCATTAAGTGGTTTGTTTAACTTTGTCTGTTTTTATCAATTTATTTTGTTTATGTACTGTTTTAACAATACAGATCATATATTTTAAACTGGAAGTGTTTTATTTCAAGAAAATATTCTTGCACATTCTCAGAATTTTAAAAGTTTTGTCTGACAAAAGTTTTTGTTTCACTCACTTCAGTCTAACTTTTTTCAAAACCTTTTCTCTTTGTGTATTTTTATTCTCTATGTTACTCTACATTCTTTTAGATAGAAAGGCCACATGATTCGTGGGCTCATTATTCTGTTGAAATCTCTTGTAAAGAACTTAGTCCATTTTTATCTTTCTATGAATTTTTGTCAGAGTTTTACCTTTCCCAGTGGTACTTGAATATTAATGTAAGTAAAGGAAGCAAGTGTGAGTAATTGCCTCTGTTAATGAATTTCAGGCATCTTCCAGCAGGAAGAGACACTCTTTGGAGAGATCAGTCATACCATTTTGGAAAACCTGTGACCAGAATGTTTGTAAATCCCCTCAACTTCACATGTTGAGATATTATTCCTGAAGGCAGTGGTACGAGGCAGTGAAGCCCTTGGGAAGTGATTATGATGAGGTTCTCACGAATGGAATTCGTGTCCCTGTGAAAGAGGCTTAGGTAGCTGCTGGCATGGAAGGGCACAGTGAAGAAGTGCCATGTAGGATGAGGACCTTACCAGATACTCAGTCTTCTGGCACCTTGATCTTGCCTCTCCCCAGAACTGTGAGAAATAAGACTCTTTTTTTATAGGCCACCCAGTCTACGGTCATTTCTTAGTATTCTGCACAAGTTGGAATAGGAAGCTTTCTCTTCTCTGAATAGATGCATTGCATTATTTTTCTAACACCAATATACTTACATAAGTGTGTATATGAATATAGATCACCTCTGAAATTCATATGGAAAGTTACCCTCCCTTCAGCAGCAGTGTTAGTTGTTAAGAAGCCTCTACTACTATTTTATTTGAGAACTTTCACTTTGCAGAAATGCAGGAGAGAAAAAGGTTTGGAGAGTGGAAATGTTTACAGGAACAACTTCAAAGAAATCTCAATAAAGCAGAAGAGAAATGAAGTAAACACAGAGCTTACTTTTGTTTAAATTGAAACCCCACATGCATTAATTCAAGTGGGATTAAATTTGAGGTACTTGTCAACATTGTTGCACAACCTGATTTGATGATGCTTTTCTTATGAAAACCAGAGATGTTTAATAGCGTTAACCATCATTGCTCTCAAGCTTCAATGTTCTAAACTGTGTACCTAAATTTTATCTTATTACTTGCTGAACGGTCTGACTAAAAGCAATCCTTTGATTCCTCCAAATATTTTTTATTAGCCTATGATAAATAGCCTGTGTGCATGAGCTAAGAAGCTGAGATAAGGAGGTCTTAATTAGTTAATGCGTTTCTGTTTGTCATGTACTATTTGGGGGGGGGTATTCAGTTAAGAATATTTATTGGTTAATGACTCTAAAGGAGAAGAGTTCAGAAGCTCTTCATGAATTAGGGTTCAGGCTATAACTATACTGAAAAGTTAGTGCTCGTTAGTTTAAATAAACTTGCCCAAGGTCATGCAACTGGAGTGCTGTACTTGAAACCAAGGTGTTGTTTCCTGCATTGCTGTCCCTGTGTCCTGGAAGTGAAGAGGTGCATTGGTGTTTCTCTTAGAGCTGTCCCTTTGTGCACTGGTGTACGGTGCTGTGCCACTGTCTGTACAATGATGCCATCCAGTTCTTCTGTGGCAGTCAGGCACATGTGCTTTATTCATTGCCATGACCCATTGTCAAGTACGTGACATCTGGCTGTACTAGTCGTTTTCAATAAAATTATTAAATTCATGAGTAAATAAACATACTTATATCATGAAGGAAAATAAAAAACTGAAGTGGCAGAATTTAAATAAAGAGCTCCCATGAACATAAACCTAACCAAGATCCATGCTGTTCTTTTTAACATGTATATTTTGTCTCCCCCTTCTTTTAGATGTAGTGATATACTAATATGAACTTATTATTAAATGCATCTGCAAAATAATGTTAAACTATTTGATATAAAAATAAAATGTGAAATATTAACTATATATTTAGCCTTTACTTTTTAATTCAAAATTCTATTTATTGTTAGTATTATTTGCTAGACTTTACTAAATTTTTCTCATTAATATCAATTTTTATGATAAATTCTTATATATATTGCTTTCATTGTAGTTTTTCTTAACATTTTTAAAAGCAAATCACAACTCTCATACTGTCCCAAGTGTATAAACTATAATTTATTTTATCTCTAAAATTTGTATCACTTATATTTGATCATGTTAGTTAGATTGCATTAATTATATTTTAAAGCTACATCATAACATTTCTGAGAGAATTTATTTTTAA